TTTTTTGGTTTTTCGAGACAGGGTTTCTCTTCGTAGCTTTGCGCCTTGCTTTGCGCCTTTCCTGGAGCTCACTTGGTAGCCTAGGCTGGTCTCGAACTCACAGAGATCCGCCTGGCTCTGCCTCCCGAGTGCTGGGATTAAAGGCGTGCACCACCACCGCCCGGCAGCAAATAGGATTCTTACACATTCCTTTATCCTTCCACCTGTGTGAGCTCTACCCATGCCCCCCATTTCCCCCACCCATGTGAGCTCCACCCATGCCCCCCTTTCCCCCACCTATGAGAGCTCCACCCATGCCCTCCCACCCATGCCCCCCACCTGTGTGAGCTCTACCCATGCCCCCCATTTCCCCCACCCATGTGAGCTCCACCCATGCCCCCCATTTCCCCCACCCACGTGACCTCCACCCATGCCCCCCACCCATGTGAGCTCTACCCATGCCCCCATTTCCCCCACCTATGAGAGCTCCACCCATGCCCTCCCACCCATGCCCCCCACCTGTGTGAGCTCCACCCATGCAAGCCCCTGCTAGATTAATATTCATTATCACTTTATCTGAAATTAGAATTATCTAAGAAACATGCCTCTGGATGTATCTGTGAGAGTTTCCAGAAAGATCTAATGGAGGAGAAAAGACTCACTTTGAGCGTGGGTGGCACCATCCATAGCCTGGATGGAGTCTGGAACTGAATTAAAAGGGAAAAAGAAGGGGAAAAAAGAAAAAAATGGAAAAGGAAAAGTCAGAGAAAACGAGTCTGCGAATCCACATCCGTCTCTCCCATTTTTCAGACTGTGAAGGTAGTGTGACCAGCTGCCTCACACTCCTGTGCTTACATCTTCCGCCCATGGTGACCAGATTCCTTCCCAAGCCCTGAGTCAAAATGAACCTCTCCTTGCTTTAATTGCTTTTGTCAGAGCAACGAGAGAAGTCACTAAAACCCTGACATCAACATTGTCCACAAAAGTGGCTGGATATGTTAATGAGCTGTCATGAATACATTATAATCACCCCAAGTCTACTGTTTATACTCGGACTCCGTCCTGACACCCTGCTTTCTATGGGTTTGCACAGAGGTGTAATAATGTGTAGCTACTATTTGTGCACTCCACCTAAACATGCTGCCTCCTCTCATCTCAGCGAACCATTGTTTTTCTTGATAATTTTCTCTTTGCTGTAATATTACAGTTGGGGTTGTACAATAGGTTGCCTTTTTAATTTTTTTATTTGATTTCCCTCATGTGTATGAATATTTTGCCTACATGTATGTCTGTGGGCCATTTAGATGCTTAATACTCATGGAGGCCAGAAGATGGGGTCAGATTCCCTTGGAACTGGAGTTACAGTGAGTTGTGAGCCGCCATGTGGGTTGCTGGGACTCCAGGCCCCCCAGGAAGAGCAGCTGGTACTCTTTAACTAACTGCTAAGCCATCTCTCCAGCCCCAGCAGGCTGTCTTTATAGATAGGTTTCTTGCTCAGAGCTATGCTCTGAGCTCCCTTTTGTCTTATCCCATCCCACCTTTGACTTTTTATGACTGAAGAATGCATTTCTTTCTGGCATTGTTTGGATATACCACAGCTTATTTTTCCATCATCTATGGTAGGAAATCTTGGTTATTTCTTTTCTCCTGAGACTAAAATTTTATCAACATAATAAATTATAAAATCCTGCTTATTTTTATTAAGTAGTCAGTAATCAAAGTAAAACTTAACTGAAAGACCCTAACCCTTCAGGCTTACACCCCCAAGCCCCAGGAGAATAAGGAACTAAAAAGAAAACTAGTTCTAAGGGCCTCCTGACTCAATCAGTTACTCAACCTCCCCTGTAACAATGTAACAATGTAAAAAGATTTCTGTTAAGAGATGTGCTCAACTGTGACTGGGATAGTTGCAAGTGTTCCAGGAAGGACTACTGTGACCTTTGTGTAAACTCCACTCCTGCCCTGATACCCCCCTTGAGGTTTCAGAAAGAATGTACATGCAGACGTGACTGTACCCACTCTGTGATCAGACCATGATCTTGTGAAAAGAAATTGTATGGAAATTGTAATCTTATGGGTTTTGTGGGTTTTTCCTTTAAAAGCCCCCATGGGACTGCAGTAAGATGCGGCTCTTGCTCTTAGGAGCAGAGTTTGCCCGTCTGTACAGTCACTTCAATAAAAACCTCGTGCTGTTGCATCAACTGGACTGGAGCCTGGGTTCTTGGGGTGCCCACTCGAGACCCTAAACCTTTGGTGTCCAACATAACTTGTATATTTAAAAGATATACCTTCTTAAGCAAGGACAGGCTCTGCAGATAATTTTTTTCAAGTTGTAATAACAACTTTGAGTTCATACATAACTGGAAAAATAATAATATGAAGGAAAAATTTATGTAACTTCACTCAGAAATAAATAATATTAATGTTAATATTTTGGTGTAAAATGTAATTTCTGGAAATTAAGGTCTTAGCATTCTAAGTTAATATTATAAATGTTTTACTTTCTATCTAAATGTCCCTCATAAATAGAACTTTTCATTGTGAATGATCCTGTGTGGTTATTTATTTAGTCACCATCTTGTTTTCAAATATTCCCAGTCTTTTGCTGTGCTATAGTTACATCCTAAATATAGCTTCCAGCAACTAACCCCCTCTAGTTTTCTTACAGTAATTTTCTGGAAACTTAATAAAAATGTTATTTTGTTGTTAGAAGAAAGGGGACAAAACTTAGAAGGAATTAGGAATTTAAAAATGTTCAAACCTTTACTTATTAAAAAATCATGCAGAAAAGAAGACGTAGCTTGATTTAAGGCACATTAATTACAAGAGCATAAGGACCTAGGATATGGCTCAGTGTTATCGCACTTGCCTGCCAAGTCTGAGGGTCCGAATTTGACCCCCACCACTGAACAAAGAAACAGTTAAGAATCTAAAAGTCAGGGAATGTTGAGGATATAGTGAAATTGGTAGAGTGCTTGCCCACCATGCAAAAAGCCCTGGGTTTGATTCCTAGTACCACAAAAAACAGGATATGGTGGTGCACACCTATAACTTCAGCACTCAGCAGGCAGAGACAGGAAGATCAGGAGTTCAAGGTCATCCTCAACTACATAGTAAATTTAAGTCTACCTTGGACCACATAAGAACTTGTCTCAAAATATGAAAAAAAAAAACACCACAGAAACATTATTGCTTCTGTTTTCAAATTTTTGTTTATTGCATATGCTTTAATTTTCATTTATTCCATATAGCAGTGTAATGCACCTCTTTTCCAAAATAATGGGAAATAACACCCATGATCCCTGCAGCATTAGGCACAATAGTCAAGAAGCACAATTGAGGTAAACATCAGTGAATGAAGGACTAGAGAAATTGAGGTGCATGTATACAGTGGAACATTATTTAGCCACAAAAAAGGAAATACTGTTTTTACCAGCACGAAATAACGTAGAGGACATTATGCAAGTGAGATATGCCAGGCAAATACTTTATGATCTCAGTTACTTGGAGAATCTAAAAATCATTGAAGTCAAAGAGGTAGAGTGGGATAGGGGCTATCAGGAGCCGGGGGATGGGGGAGTTGGGAAATGCTGGTTAAAAGGAGCCAACTTTGACTTATGATATGAACATGTGTTGAACACGGGTGCTGGTAGGCTCACTGATGATTTCATTTCAATAATCATGCACAGTGTGTGCTGAGTCAGCACTTTGCACACCTCAAGTATATCCAGTCTTTGTCTACTAAGTATTTTGTAATAGAATAAATTTTTAAAAATAGCTAGGCAATGCTGGGGCTATAGCTCAGTGACGGGGGCTTGTCTTGTATGCAAAGCCTTGGGTCTAATCCCCACAACCACAAGAAAAAGGGGAAATGCACAACATTACACAAAACAGAGTAAAAACCACCATAATTGAAGGACCTTGAAACAATCACATTCATGCTTATTTTTCTAAGTGTGTGTGTGTGTGTGTGTGTGTGTGTGTGTGTGTGTGTGTGTGAAGAGAGATACTTACATACAGATATACACGTGTTAGAGTTAAATTCTTGTCCTGGATATATAGCCTAGTGATAGAGCACTTGCGTAGCATTTACAAGGTCCATTAGACGTTTGTCAGCTGCCCTCTTCCTTACTGCCGGAAGTTGTATAATCATGTCCCTGTACCTGGTCTTTTTATTGCAGATATCCCATGACCTCAAGAGCTTGAATTTAATCATCACAACCAGTGGAACTGGTTGGTGTTTAACCTTGAGCCCAGAGTAACGCACAGATGATGTTGGTAAGGTGACTTCCCTTCACACCATGGGTTCATTGGCTGGACTATAAATGAAATGGACAAAAACAGATTAACAAGTCCCAGAAAAATATGTAACCTGAAGAAAGAGCAGATGGTTAAAGTTTATGTAACACATCCTCATTACAGAAAAAGATGGGGGCTTGAGGCTCCTGGGGAAGTGGCAGTTACCTAAGGCAGTACGTTAGGAGAGGGGAGGAAGTATGCCCTGATCGCCTGCCTTGCAAATAAGTCTCTCAGAAAGAAAGGTTCATCTGGGCATCGCCCTCTACTTGACACAGAGTTTACCCTTGTACATTTCCTTTACAGATATATGTCTTCACAAAAGGCAAGCTTGTCAGAGCTACTAATAGAGCTGCAGTTTCTCACAATAACCAGCCCCAAATATGCCAATTATATTTTGGGGTATTATATTTGGTCTCCTATGATCATATTTAAGGGTGATGGGTCCTGAGTACGAGTAACTGAGCACTGTGGGAAAAAACAATCGGCAGACCACTGCGCACAGAAAAGCTCGGTCTTTGTTGTATTGAGAAACTACCTTCTGTGGGGCAGGGTGTTGATTTATAATAATAATCTGGTGGATTTACAAAGTGCACACAAGAGCACACACAGACTTGCATAAAAATGGACTTAGTCAGCTTGAGTGCTATGTGGCCACCAACAGTGACTGAATTCACCACTTAGTTTTTCTCTTTGAGATTGCTTGCTTACAGTAAAGTTGTCCAGTTTATTGATAGCCAACAGAGGGTTCCAACAAAGAACCACTCTTGTTTTTACAGCTGGATGACTCCTGACATAAATATTGTGAAAAATTTCCATGTCAGCACAGAGCAACTTCTAGGATACATTAATAAGAAGAAAAACAAGGGACAGAGGTTTGTGCTGAATTCCTTCTTCTTTATGTAGGCAAAGATGAAGAGCAAAAAGGTGTGTTCATATCTGCTTTTATTTTCACAAAGAAACCCCTGAGAGGCCGTGTGAATCTTTAAACAAGTGGTAACCAGGGTACATATCAGAAGAGGTAATGAAAGTGAGGCTCCAGGCTGGCTGTGGCCTCCCCAACTCATGCTGAAAGTTACTTGCCACTTAAAGAATATGAGGTGAGACTTTTAGGGTGCGGTGATATCATGGGAGTCAGTAGAGGCTGTTACTGTGGGAGTCAGTTACAGTCCAGTGTGCTCCTGATAAAAGAGAGAGAAAGAGAGATCTTGACTTCTCTTCTGTCTGCACATACTGATTTGTCCCTTCTGCTACGTCATGACATAACAGAAGTCGCCACCAGAAGCTGATACTGTGTTCTCGACTTTCCCAGCCACCAGAAACATGAGCCGCATAATTTATTATTCTTTGGGTATGCTAGGTTTTTTTTTTTTTCATTTTTATATGGTCTTTGTCTTTTAACTGTATGTACATCTTAGCTTTCCAAAAATAACATTAAAGATCACCAGATGTAATCTAAGCAAATCTATTTGTTTATACCATACAATAACAACGGGCTATTGAAAGCCAGCTTTTGCTTCCTGTCACTTGGCAAGCTTGTAAACATCCACCATTGAAGAGTTCATAGACCTGCAGCGGAGAAGATTCCCTCTGGATCGAGTGTGATCTCTTCCTGGTATTCACAACACAGTGATAGCTGCTTCCTTCCTCTCGGGATTCTGGCTTCTGTTGCCACCCCGAAGGCCCAACCCAGAACACAGCAGAAAAGAGGTGATGCAAACACCTCTTACAAGGCTGTTTGACTTCCCAAACAGGGCCACCAACTGTGGAGCAAGTGTCCAAATACCTGAACTATGGGGGACATCTCTCATCTAAACCACCATAATTATCAGTCCATGTAATTGGAAGTGACGCTCAACAAAAGTACAAATATGTTTAATAATTTTGAAGTCCAAGAGGATTTTCTGCTGTTACATGTCTTACCAGTCATGTTAAGCATACTTTATGGCATTGGAACAAATCTGGCAGGTCTTGATGCAAATTTTTGTGCTCCTAGAACCGATGGCTTGAAACAAGTTCTCTAAGAACACTCTACTTCATACAAACCGCTCGCTAAGACTGAATGTAAAATCTGAAGTGTACAATTAGGCAATGGCATTTGCTATTTGCTCGGGCACTATAATTTGCAGTAGAAAGCCCAAACCTCTGTGCTCTGTGATCTGTATGTATTCCAAAAGGCCCCTTTATGCACTCTTTGTCTGTACCTTAAATGACCAAGTCTGGGGTATTTTTGAACCCACCTTCCTTGTTAATAACTGGTTCGTGGGAAACCTCCTGTGAAGAGTCTGTGTGTGTGTGTGTGTGTGTGTGTGTGTGTGTGTGTGTGTGTGTGTGTGCGTGTGTCTACGTCATCTGTGCTCTGGAGTCAGATGCCCTAGTGGCTGGTCCTCTGACCTTCTCTCTCACCCTCTTCCTGTCTCCGGAGCAGCAACTGTCAGGTGTGGGCTCCATTGTCATAGAGCTCTGCAGCAGAAATAGGTTCAGCTGCCTTGTGATAAAGGTACCATGGGCTGTTCTGGCTTCCTGCTCTGAGTGACTCACTCCACTATTGTCTCCCCCAGGGGACTTACTGTCCGTCTTAAGGTTTGTTTCTGAAAACATACAGCTGACCACAATTTCATCTTACTTAAGAACTAAAGGGGATTTCCTGAGGATGGGCTGGGGGAAGGGCATCCCCAAGCCTAGAGACACTGCTCCCTGACTTGCCCCAGTGATGGCAGCCTAGCCGAGGGTGCTGACAGGAAGTATAATTTCCTGTGTGTTGGCTGGGGGTAAAGCAGCAGCAGCAGCAGCAGCAGCAGGGAGCCTTTGCACCTCCACTGGACTCTGCTTACTTTCCTCATGTAGGAAATGGGACCCAGCCGACTAAGCTCCTCATTCTCTTAGGCTGCAGGTCAGCAACCACTTTCTGGGCAGGAAATGAGTCATTTCAGTGTCGATGGCTTCCCAGTTTCTGTGCATCTCATCCACACTGCCATCATAGCAGAAGCATTATTAAATGATGCAAAAGGAAGGAGTGTGCCCGCATTCCAATCAAACTGTGTTCAGGGACTCTTAAAGACCATAGTCTGGTGTTCTTTAAACACTTTTTTCAATCATTTCAAGATGTAAAAACCCATTCACAGGCTAAAGGGATGCCTCACTGAGTAAAGGTGCTTGTCACCAAGCCTGGTGACCTTAGTTTAATCCCTAAAACCCACATGGTAGAAAAAGAGAATAGACTCCCAAAAGTTGTCCTCAGACCTCCACAAGCATGTCACATGCACGCGCACACACACACACACACACACACACACACACACACACACACACAATTAATTAATTAAAAATGTAATTTTAAAATTATGAAACAAAATTGACCTCATAGCCTCCAGGCAAACAAAAGCAAGTAATAAGTAGATTCTGCTCGTTGTGGTTGTGTTAGTTACTTTTTTATTGTCATGACAAAATGCCATGACCAAGGCAGCTTAGAAAAGAAAGCATTTAATTTGGGGCTCATGGTTCCAGGTAGTTAGAGTCCATTGCCATCATGGTGGGGACCATGGCAGCAGGCAGGCAGGCATAGCACTGAAGCAGTAGCTGAGAATTTACAAAAGATCTACAGGCAGGAAGCAGAGAAAGAGAGACAGAGACAGAGAGATACAGACAGAGAGAGACAGCCTGAGCCTGCCTGGCATGGTCCTTTGAAACTCCAAAGTTCACCCCCAGTGAACCTTCTCCGACAAGACCATACCTCCTATTCCTTCCCAAAACAGTTCCGCCAACTGCAAACGAAGCATTCAGACATAGGAGCCTATGGAGGCCATTCTTATTCAAACCACCACATGGGCCATTGACTTATACACTCTACTGCTGATTACGTTTTTTCACTCAACATGGCATTATAAGCTGCTTTGCAGCTTGGGGCATCCCAGCACCTATCACAGTGATTTTTCATGAGGATGTTCAAGGATGTAAACAGAATATTTCAGTAGCTTGCCCCTGGTTAAGGGCCTTGGCTCTCTTCTTTTCACCAGCCATCCCTATTAAGAAGAGCACCTAATAGAATTCTAAGGATCAAGAATTCCTTTAGACCTGGACAAGGGTATCATACCATCAGTATAATGTCATCCCTGGCCTAGCCACTTCAACTAGGAATAGGCCCTAGTGCAAAGTTAAAAATACCTAGCTATTGGGCAGTGGTGGCGCACGCCTTTAATCCCAGCACTCAGGAGGCAGAGCCAGGTGGATCTCTGTGAGTTCGAGGCCAGCCTGGGCTAACAAGTGAGTTCCAGGAAAGGTGCAAAGCTACACACAGAAACCCTGTCTGGAAAAACCAAAAAAAAACAAAAAAAAACAAAAAAAAAAAAACCTAGCTATTAAATAATTGTGATAGCTTTCCATCGCTATAGTGAAATACTTGGAATAACTAGCTTTTGGAAAGAAAAGGTTTCTTTGGGCTCACTGTTGGGAAGGTATCATCCGTGAGTGATTGGTCTTATGGTTTTGTGCCTGTGGCAAGGCAGGGCGCCGTGGGAGTACACTGCAGAACAAAGTTGCTCACCTCATTTGTGTTCAGGAAGCAAAAGAGAATAGGGAACAGGCTGGAGTCCCATAGTCACACTCAAGTCCAGTCCCTCAATAACCTAAAGGCCTCCCACTCGGCCTCACTGCTTAAAAATGTCTGCAATATTCCAAACGTGTCCCCCTGAGGTCCAAGCTCTTACCACAGGGGTCTTTTAGGGGGACATTCAGAATCCAAACTGCAACACTAAAAACTGAATTCTAGTCCATGATTTTATCAGTCTGCAGCAACTTGATTAGGCAATTCCAGTGGAGAAGGGATGACTGGCAGGTCAAATTCAGTGTCACGTCATTGGATGTAATACTACCATAACACTACATACCCCACCCAAAATTCCTAATCAAAGCAGGCAGTAAATCTGTTAATGTAAAAACGTTTCATACAAACTCAGCATCTGAGCACACAAACCTTTGCGCAC